ATTTATTGGATGCCTCCTATGGTCTGAGTGTAGGAGTTACACTGGCGAGTGAATCTAACACCCTCCTTGCTCTGAGGCAGCAGCCAGGTTGGTGGAGGAGAGGGATGTTAGTCAAGTACTAGCAAGGTCAATGCAGGACATGGTTACTATGTCCTGCTTAACAAAGAAAATTGGCCCAGTCTCTGGATTGGAGGACAAGCAGGAAAGACCCGGTCAGTGTCCCCGGCAGAGGGTGTAGCATGTGCAAATGTCCTGTGGTTCAATTCAGAAACCACTGGGAGGCTGGTGTTGCCAGTGGGGAGAGTGATGAATACAGTGATGGAGAATGTAATAGAAATGGGGCTGCAGAGCTCAGCAGGAAGGCTGGCTTCTACCGGACACTGGTTCCTTTACTCATTTTTTTAGATTTCAGTTCTGGGATTTCCTCTTCAAGAAGTCCTTTCTGCTCCATGCAGGCTGAGTGAGGCCTAGGTACTTTTCTCTAATAAGAAAAAGCACCTCAAACTTGGAAATAAGGCAAAAGAAGGTAACACTTCTTTTCATTGCCATAGCGCGTGGGGTACTGTTTAGAAGACCCACTTAATTAATTCTGTTGAGGAATATACTTGAGTTTGTCTTTCCTGTTTGATTAGGACCCAGATTTTATAAAGCTACATGGTAATTTATAGATTTTGACTGGTAGAGGTGCAAATGACTTCTGTCTGGCAGAAAAGATAACTCCAAAGGTATGGGTTTTATTGCCTTGTAGAACATTAACCAGATTTATATCTAACCTGAAAATTTTATTCTCACATTCCTTTTTCAAGGCCTGTAAATACCCATTTACTCTTGGGACTCGCTCTTCCCTCCCGCTGGCTCTCTCATTAATGTGCTCATTCTGTATTTGAATGTGTTGTGTTTGTCACCCCTGTGTCCTAGCAGCACTCATCCCTGCCCTGGGATTGCCAGCTCTGGCGCCCACACGCCCCATGAGCTCGTGGGGGTGTGGCCCGTATTTTGTCAATGCCGTAGCCTCAGAATTTTGCACAGGGCCAGGTTACCAGAAGGAGCTTGAGAAATAGTTATTGGCTGAATAAGTGATTTTGAACTTATCTCTTCACCTCTCTGAACCTCCATTTTCTTGTCTGCGAAATGCCATCCTAGCACCCATCTGCAAAGGGTGCAAATAGGTGCTGCGATGATTCTACTTCCAGGAAATAAAGGATTCCAGTGCCAGGGGGCCTGTCTGGACACATAGTGGGCTTACCCTGGGGCTGGATCCCTGGCTTAGGACGTGAAATTCTAGCGTTGGGGAGCTTGTGGGTGTTGGGGAGGACTCTGTGTTATAGGCGGAGTGACACATTGTGGGGCCAGTGCAGGCAAAGGAGGCTCTACCTGGTACGTGGTGGGACCAGAAGACCAGCCTGCCCAGAGTCCAGTTGGGGAGGAGAGGATCTTGAAAACCAGGGTGAGGTGTTGTAGTCCCCAAAGTTGATGAGGGGGGCGGGGGGAGTGCCTTGATACAATTATCTCAGTCAGACCTACCATTGCAGAGCTGCTCTGATAACCTGGCCTTGAGGCTGTGAGCAAGTGTGTGGGTGTGAATGTGTCTGTGGATGTGAATGTGTGTGAGTTTACATGTGTGTGCTCAGAGTTCCCCAACTTTTTGGGCACCAGTTTCATGGAAGACAATTTTTCCACGGGCCCCAGGGGGTGGGGTGGGGGCGGGATGGTTTCAGGATGATTCTAGCACGTTGCATTTATTGTGCACTTTATTTCTATTATTATTCCATTGTCACATATAGTGAAATAATCATACAAATCACCATGATGAGGAGTCAGTGGGAGCCACGAGCCCCTTGGAAGCGCAGTTTACAGTAGGCTTGGAGCTCCCGTGAAAGTCGAATGCCACTGCTGATGAACAGGAGGCGGAGCCAGGTGGGGATGTGCGTGGTGGGGAGCGGCTGTAAATACAGAGGAAGCTTCGCTCACCTGCTGCTGCTCGCTGCCTGCTGTGCCGTGCTGGTCTGCAATGGCCTGGGGACTGGGGAGCACAGTGTGTGCTGACTGCTGTCAGAGTCTCAAATCTCTTCTCTCATCTCACCCTCACTCGAGCCCCAGGAGGTGAAGACCACTACTACCCCCATTTCACGGGTAAGAAAATGGAGGCTCAGAGGTGACTAGTTTGTCCAAGGTCCCAGGGCAAGGGCTCTGTGGTGCAGCTGCCTCTGATACCTTGCGTGGGGGGAGGAGGGAGAGTGACTAAGGGTGTCCCAGGAGATGATGTGATGACAGATAATGGCTTATCCTTGTAGCTGTCCTTGTTCTCCGAGCCTAGTTTGGCATATTTTCTTTCACCGTTTCATGTGCTATTTTGGTCACTGGGATGCTATCTTTCAAATTAACTCAACAACACTCCCTGGGCCCCTTACCTGGGCTGGGTTCAGGGACCAAAGACAAGGCATTGACACCATCTTTAAGAAACTGTCAAATTGGGGCAGGCATCAAAGGTTGGGCAGCAGGGGGAAGGGGCGCCAGTCTTTTTAAAAAGTTAAGATGTCACTCATGCAGGGATGTGCACACACGTTACAGGAACAGCTCCAGGAGTTTTTACGCATGTAAAGCCTTGGGTGACCACTGCTTGGGGGAGACATAGGACATTTGCTCCCCCGGTCCCTTCCTAGCCCTCCCTCCAAGGAAGCAGCTCTTTTGACCTCTGCTGCCAAGGTCTTGCCTGTTTTTGTACATCTGAGACGCGTGTCTTTTTAAAAAACATCTTCAATGTCATAATCCTGTATTCAGAAAACAAAACAAGCCCCTGGTCAGGTGCAGCGCTATGGTAAATAGAGGATGCTGGGGACCCTGGCAGTGGCAGGGCTGAGGTCCAGGGAGGTGACCATGGAGCAATATGCTTACTCTGTGTTTCCATTTATTAAATGGGGGATAATCATAGTACCTACCTTATAGGTTTGTTGAGGACAAAGTGATTTGATATTACATAAGTGAATATTTGTACAGAGTTTAGGAACGTCTGATACATAATCTGTGCTTATGTAAAAGCTGAATAAATAAAATGTCAAATCTTGGCTATTGAAATATCCTAGAAGACACAGGAGCTTTTACACATGGGCCAGGTGAAGATTCTCTTGATTATCACATAAAATGGGCAAGAGCTTCAGCAGAAGGCAGGGACCTGGGGGCTGGTCCTCATGGAGGGTCTTGATCCTTTTCCTTTGCATCACAAGGAACCTGGAGGAGGTGCCCAATAAATGCCAAAGGCTTGACTGACTTCCTGGCGGGCAGAAAAAGGGCCACTTAGCTCCCATCAACTTTCATTTTGCCTGCCAACGTCCAGCCCTGGAGATTTGAGCCATGGAGAAGCAAGGCCCGGGTGCTACGTAAAATACCTCCCCCAAGTCTCCTTGCCCGGACATGCAATCCATCATCCTCCACCTTCCCAGAAAAAGAAAGGCATCTCCCCACCCTGGAAATGCCTGGATTCATGCCTTGGGTGTTGAAGGCCTGGATTCATGCCTTGAACTCCCCATTCCTGCAAGCACTGCACATATTTCATGGGTTGGGCCCCGGTGCAGGTGGCAAGCTGAACTCAGGCTGAGGGCCAGGAACCTACTGAGCTCTCTGTCACAGCCAAGGTCCTGGCTTGTGAAGCAGGTGACTTGAGTCCCCAGGAGACTCTCTGGCTCAGATGCTCCCTCACCACATGGACCAGGCCAAGGATGCAGGGATGATCCCTAAGGGGCCTGTGGATCTGAGTTCAAGTCTCAGCTTGACTAAAGATTCATTCAGTGTAACACTGGCCACATCACATGTACTTATGGAGCCTCATCTTTCCTTCTCTGCAAAGTGGGCACAACCACAGCTATCTGATAGTTAGGAGAATTAAATGAGGCAATTAAAGCACAGCATGGTAGGGAAAAGGCAGACTCCCTGGCCTCAAACCCTGGCTCTGCCGGGGGACATAGGGGACTTCTGTGCACCTCGGTTTCCTCATCTGTAAGACACAGAGAATAACAGTTCCTCTGCTATATGGTGGCTGGGAAGATTAAACGAGTCCATAACTTGCCACAGCTTTTAATTAGCTATTATTGTGCTTCATTTTACAATTGGTGCTCAACATGTGCTGTCACTCAGGGGCTCAGCATCAAGTGCTGAAGTCAGACGGATGGGTTTGAGACTCAGTGACATCCACATTAGTTGTGTGATGCTGTGCAAGTTATAACCCCTCTCTGTGCCTGGATAGAAGGGGGTTAATAACATCACTGACCTCATTGAATTGTAAGATTTAAAGCAATAAATGTGAAATGCTGACACACCCGGTATTACTATAGTATTAATACATTAACTTTATTACACAATGATCACCAATATCATTGATAATCTAATTGAAGGAAGGTAAGCAAACTAGTATTTATTGAACACCTACCATAAACCAGTGCTTTGCTTGAGTCACCCCGCAAGGTTATTACAGGCCAAGCACTAGATCCCCGCATATGATGGAGGAGGAAAGGGAAGCTTCAGGAGGAGCCAGATGTGTAAGACCCCAGGGGTGCTGAGTGGCCACCACACCCAGCTGTGCAGGATTAGGGCAGGAAGGAAAGACCAGCCCTCAGTGTGGGCCTGCCCAGGCCAAGCATGGCCTCGGTGCCCATTACCTCCTTTTATCCCCATAGGGACCCTCAAGGGTGGATGAGGGGCCCAGACCTCAGAGAAGTGAGTTGTCCAAATTCCCACAGCTACAAAGTAGTGGAGACAGGATCCCACTCAGTTGTCTGTCTGGATCTTTGTCCCATCCTCACACCAACCTCTTGTGAGTCAGGGAGAACAGAAATTCTATGTCTATGAAACCTAAGTGGGGGAGACCACAAGCTGCAGGTTACTTCTAGGCCTTGGGTCTCATTCAATCCTCCTGCCAGCTCCCAGGGACAGGTAGACACTAGCCCCTGTGGAGGCCCCAGGACACGCCGCTCACAAAAGACAAGGACGCTCAACACCTGAAGGAGTTGTTATTACCCAGAAATCTTTATTACAAAAATATTTTGCAAGCCAAAAAGTTTAAGTTGCAACTATATACAAAATGGGGCCTGTTTCCTTCCCAGCAGTCTTAAAATAAACTTCTGAAACCACGTTCTTTCTGCAGGGTTGGTTCAACCTCTTCCTTTCCCTGGGCTTCCATACACAAGGTATCTGGAATCTCCAGGTTGCCAGGCTGAAGCTAAAGCTATGTATCTTCCGTGGCCTCATTCCCTTATTTTCACCTCCGAGAATTAAAATTAAATTAAATTAAAATGGCACCAAGAAAACATTCTTTTAAAATTCTGTGTGTGTGTGTCTTTGTGTGCGTGCACTTGTGTGTATTGTCTCTGAGCAGAAGGGAGGGACACGAAGGTTTAGACGCCAATCTTTTGGAATTTGGAAACAGCCTGAGCCAGGTGGCCACAACCACTGTGGCTCCCAGATGCCAGAAGGGCTCTGGCTCATGCAGCAGAAGCCGTCCACATGGTCTGTTGGCTCAGCTAATTCCTGGATGCCATCATGGAAAACACCAAGTCTCTGTCAAGCTGGGTATGTGCTGAGCTCCAAAGTGCTACCGGAAAGGGCAGGATGGCTCGGCATGTTACTTTCATAGCCTAAGCCAGGAATCCCCGTAGCATCCCGTGACCAGGGGGCCATGAGCATTGGCATCTCAACCCTAAGAGCTGTACGTGAAGACTGAATAAACAGGCCTTGCAACATCTGTTTCTCTTGGGCCTAGCCAAGTCCTCACACCCCACTGGAAGGGTGGAGGTCAAAGGGTAACTGGGTCACAGCCTCTGCCCAACCTCTCAGGATAGGGGGACGGACGGTGGATCAGCCCTGGCTTCACTGCTGTGCTATCCTCCTGCCTGTCTTTGATTCTTTCTAGTTTGATTCCGATAGGGTTTGAGAGCAGAAATGGAAGATTCCTCCTTCTAGGATCTGGAATGGGGCGGTCACTAAGGAGCAGAACCAATGGCAAGGCTCAGTGGCTGGGCTTAGGGTCCCTTTCCTCTGCATGTCCCTAAAGTGCTTGTGAGAAGTGGTGGGGAGGGTTGTCATCTTTACTCTCCCCACTTTACAGATGCGCAGACTGAGGCATTAGGTCTTGACAAGACTGTACTGTCAAGAGGCGGCCTAGAGCAGCCCTGGGCAGGCTGGACTTACCACAGTGGGGTCACAGAAGGCAGCAGAACCAGCCACGCAGCTCAGCAGAGAACGTGGCCATGATAGTCCCAACTCGAGGGCTAAGTGTCTCCGGAGAACAGCCAAAAGGATCCTTCTTGCTCATTCTCGGGGGTCTGGGACTTGGAGGATCTCAGCTTCTGCTGAAAGAAAATCCCTCCAGGACAACAAACCTCTAGACCTCAGACTTCACAAGACCCAACCAGGTACTTCAACACATAACAGAGAGCCAAGATAACGCTGCTGTTGTTTTAAGAAAAGAACAAAACAAAAACACCACAGGTCAAGTTTTCTAACACCTCGGTTTCAAGATTGCACATTTCACATTTCTCAATAATTTACAGGCGTCCACAGCGAGATGTTGCTTAGTGCTAGCTGGAGGGAGCAAGCTCGGGTCTGAAAGGAGAGGCGGGTCCGGGTGGAATGTCACAGTCGAGCCCCAAGGGGTGTTGGAGGGGCCCAACGAAGAGGAGGGTGTTATCGCCAGGTCCTCTTGTGGGGGGTCTTCCTTGGAGGGTCCCCTCCTCTTCCAGGGCTGTGGCTCTCAGCCCAGAGATAGGGGAGGCTAGGACCATTGGCAGCAACCTCACCAAGTCATGGGATGTAGGTTCCAGTTTTTTTTTTCCAGCTTCTCTGTGGAGGGGCAGTTTGATCCAAAGGGAAAATTTCCCCCAAAGGCCCCAGTTGGGTAGTAATAGAAATGGTGGTGGTGGGAGATGGGATTTTCTCCTCCTCACCCTGGAAGATCAGGCTTTGGAGCATCAAGGAGGCAGTCAAGGGTCTCCAAGACTCACATGTTGATGGATAGAGGCACAGGAGTCCTTGGACCCCAGGCGGCTCTGCCCAATTCCCAGGTCGGTTCCTGGCTGGTTTGGCAAAATCAGCCTCCAGATGTGTGGTAATGAGAGGGCCAAGGCTGCCCTGGAAGTGCTGGCGAGCCGCCCTCACCCTGGTCCCAGGGCCAGTGCAGCCCCGGCCCTCTGGGAACTGGGCTGGCTGTCCATATCACTGCTGCTCCACGTGGGACAACAAAGCTCACAGGGGTGGGCCCTAGAGCCGGCTGCGGTCTCATTCACTTCCTCTGGACCTGGACGCTGGCATATTCCGAGACGGACGGCTCAGGCTTGGGGGCTGGCTGCTTGGGGGTCCGGTTGAGGTGGACCATGTCCAGGTCGGCATAGGTGAGGTTGTCCTCCGGTGCGGGTGGCGGGCTGGTCTGAATGCTGGCATATTCGGTGTGGTTGTTGGGCTCAGCGGCCCGCGGGGCAGGCTTTTTCCCCTTGGGCAGGTTCAGGTCTGCATAGGTGATGTCATTTGTGTCCTGGACCTAAGAGAGACAAAGAGAAGGTCATTCTGGGCCCCCCCCCCCAGCCTGCTCACCCAAACTGGATACGTCTGGGTGCTTCTGTCTCCTTGTGGCTTGTACTGGCCCAGTCCTAATCCAGGTCCCCTCTTCCTACCCCTTCCTGCCCACCTTCTCCCTCATGCCTGATGTGTCCTTCTGAACTGCACAGTGTGGTCACTGCACAGCTTCACTTTAGCATCCCTTCCTCCTGTTCCTGCCTCTTTCCAGCTGGAAACACCTGCAGGTCTCACCCTTTTCAGACGTCCACCCTTAGAGTGTCTGTCCCTTGTAACACATCCCAACCCACCCTGGAAATTTTAGCTGGAGCTTAGCTTCATCCCAAGACCCCACTCTGCCCCCCACTCCCTTCTGGCCCCAGGGCTCCTCCTCTGTCCCTCCTTGGCCCCTCATTCCCTAGCCACTGCCCACCACTGTGTCCATCTTTGGGCCTGAGATGCTGCTGCTATCCCTGTGGGTGGGGACATTCATTCGTTTACTAGTTTACTCAACAGGTATTTGTTAGGATGCAAATACCAGGGATGGCACAAGAAGAAGCTAGATCCACGTCAAATGAATTAATGAAGGAAAGAGTGGATGAAAACACCACCAGCCTCACTTGGGTAAAGCTGGGCAGCGGGAGATAGAGAATAGGGACTGTGTGAGAATGAAACTACCAGTTAGCAGGTAGTAAATGTTCCACAGTCAGAAGGCCTGGAATCTTGGCTCTGCCTTCTACAGCCGAGGGGCTTTGGGCAATTCACTTAGCTTCTCCAGGCCTCAGTTTCCTCATGTGGAAAGTGGGGATATTAACAGTATCTATTGCCAAGGTTGCTGAGAGGATCAAATGAGATTATCTAGGCTAAACACCCAGAACAGAGCCCGGCTCATAGCGAGCTTTTATGTTCAATAAATGCCAGCAATCATCAACCACTTAGCTAACTTGAATACCTCCCCGTGTGTTAATCTTATCACCTGCCACCGCTGCCTTAAAATTGCCCAACATGAATTATAAACTTTGCTCTCTCTGTGCTCAGCATCTGTATAGCAGAAGCAGAGTGGAGCTACCCCCAACCACCACCACTTCTAGTCGGTACATGAAAATGACGCTCATCTCAGCTCTCAGGGCCTCCATGCCTCACGTAATCACACGCATCACCTTGTTTAGGCCTTACCACAACCCTGCTTGGGAAGGATTATTTACTCCCTTTTATAGAGTGAAGAAACCAAGACCAAGGGAGGCTAAATACTTTGTCTGAAGTCACCCGGCAGGCAAAGAACCAAGGTCTGTTGGACTCTGAGGCTGCAGTCTTATGAAAGCTCCTCTGTTCTGAGCCCTGGGGATGCCACTTGCTTTTGTCCCGGAACCCATGTCCATAGGCTGTGACTCCTGCCTGGTGAGATCTGGCACCTGGCATGGGCAGTCCTAGGCACTGCTACTGACTCCCCAAGAGCTGGGTCATGACCATCCTGCCTATTGTCCAGGGCCTAGCTCACTGTGGATGCTTTTTAAGCCTCTCCTGAATGTGACCAATTCCTCTCACCATTCTCTTTCCCCTAGAAGATTCCAGAACAAAGTCCAGAGTTAAAATGACTGAGGAAAAGGCCTCCTTCTCCCATAATTCAAAATTGTTTTGTTTTTCCTAATTACAACCTGAGTGCATGCCCAGGGCTGCCAAGGAGGCCCCATGGGTCAGGAGAGCAGACCCACACATTTTGGCCTACAAATACTGTCACCAGCCCACCTCCTTCCATAGATTACATCTAAAACGATGACAACAGTCCTGGAAATGTCAAGGACAGGTGGCACTCCCTTGTTATGGGTTCACAGCAAGGCCTCTCTTGTTACAAGATGCTGAGGAGCCCTCTGACTCCAAGGTCTGACAGTGTCAGCTGGTGATGAGAGGGCCAGGTTTCTCAGCAACCATGTTGCCTGGAAAACTGCCCTAGCAATACCAACCCGAAGTCGCCAGATTGAGGGAGTGTGCCCTTGTGTGAGGCAATTAATGACCTGGGGTCTTTTCATCAGCAAAGGCAGGAGAGGCCCCAAAAGGGGGAGGTGGGAGAGGGCTAGGGACAGTGCTCCTGGTGCAGGCAGGGACTGGCCTGGGCAAGTGCACAGAGGGAGGAAGGGCTGATCCACACTGAGGGCGGCTGCCGCCTGGCTCCAGGGCCCCACTGACATAGGACGTGCTACAGATAGGGTCCACTGGAGTTGTGCAATGGGCAGCGCCGAGGCCAGAGGGGAAGTCAGGAATGTTAGGATCCTCCACACCCACCCCACCTCCCTGCAAGGAGTCTTAATTTAGATCTGGATCTGCAATTCCGCTTGATGCAAGAAAATCACACCACGGAGATTCCCAGGAAGGGCGTCTCACCAAGGACTGTACCTGGGTTATTTCTCTGGCATTCTTCTCGGGCTCATGCAACCTAAAAAGGAAAGAGACAGATAAAAATACCCTCCCTATCTCAAGCACTCATGCAAATTGATAAGAATAACATTTAGGCTCCACTTCCGACACGGGCAGAGGACATGGATGAACGGTTCGCGACAGAAATACAACTGCTTATCAAATGTTTGGACAAAGGGGTCAATCTCACGAAAAAGGAATTTTAAACAATGCACTATCTTATTTTTTTACCTTTACTGGCAAGGATCTTTAAAAATTGTAATATTTGGTGTTGGAGGAGGCAAGGTGAGACTATCTGGCACGTTCATGTGTTCCTGGTGGGAGAGACAAACCAGCTCAACCCTTCTGGGAAGCAGCTGGCAAAATCAAGAGCTTGGAAGGTGTCCTCATCTTTTGACTCATAATTGCGCTTCTTTTGGAGGAATTCAAACTACAGGAAAAGCTTTCAACATAAAGGCATTTATCACGGGTGGGATTGGGGAGGGCGGTTTTCATCGTAGGGCTCTGCCAATTGGGACTGGTTAAGGAAATTAGGATAAATCCACAGATAAAGATTTAAAAGGTTTATAAGACGGTATATTCTTTTAAAATTAGAAATGATTACATTAAGACGATAAGTGAAAAAGAGAAATTCTCTGTGGGATTTTCTCAATTATGAAAAATGTGTGGATAACACTGGAAGGAAACACAGCAAAATGCTAACCACGGTGGTCTTTGCACGGTATTTTTTTCTTCATTTCAGCTTCTCATATTCTCCAAGTGTTCTGTATTATAAAACATCTATGTTTTATCATTAGAAAAGAAGAAAAGAGAAAGACCAAGATGTCCTGGTAAAGCAAGGAAGTTGTTCACGCACTTGACTCTGTCCTTGGAAGCCAGGCTTGGCTCATTCAAGGGCAAGGTTAAGGTGAGGAGTAAACCTGAGCCACTGGTTCAGCAGGAGTTGTGTAAATTCTCATGTTGGCAACTCTGGGGACGTGAGCCTGGATAATGTCAGAAATGAGCAACGGGGCTTGGATTGCTCATTGGATTATTAATGGATTTGGCCTGAGTGCTTGGCTCAAACAGCAGTTCTAGGGCAATGGCAGGCCCCACGTGGCTACAGCAACAGCCCTCCAGGAGTGGAGACATGTCAGGTAGGGGAGATCACACAGATCCAGCCACACCCCACTGGCATCCAGCCCTTCTGGGGCTCCCCACTGGCTGTCTGGTTCAAGGCCAACTCATCACCATGCTCAGAGTCCCACGCGGTCTGGCATGATGACACCCTCCCCAGGCTCATTCACTCCCCTGCCCTCATCATGCACCCACTTATCCACCTGCCAAATATTTCAGGGCTCCACACCACATTTATACTTCAACAACAGCCATGAATGACTCTCTTGAACGCTTTTCCTCTTGGTTAACTTTTGCGTCTCTTTTAAGACTCAACTACGATGTTACCTCCTTGGGACATTTTCTCCAACCAGTGCTGGGCTGGCTGGGCTGCCCCAACATGGCAATCCCAACCCTGCCTGCATGTCTGCATGTCTGGGGCATACTGATGTCTGTCTGTCTGCCATGCTTCCTCACCATGTGGGCATAGGTGCCCAGAGAGTGAATGAACGCAGTCACGCGGCCCCCGGGGCTCTGCACACTCAGTCCTCCCTGCCTCTTCATCTGCTTCACTCCTCCTCTCCCAGATGCTATTTTAAATAGCCCTTTCCCAGAGAAACCTTCACCGAGCCCCAAACTCCATTCTCAAAACACCAAGTTCCTTTCTCTCCAAGTAGCATTTCAGACTGTAAATCGTTACCCATTTCTTCGTGTCTGCCTTTCTCCTGGCCTTTCCTATCTCAGGGAACAGCTCTGCCGTTGCTCACCCTGAGCTCAGGCCAGAAAAGTGGGAGTCATCCCTGAGCCTCCTCTCTCCTCTGTCACAACCTCATCTAACCCACTAGAAGGCTTGTCTGTTTCACCTCCAAAGTATCTATCAAACCCAGCCACTGCAATCTGTCCTCTCCACCATCCTGGCTCCCCAGATGCAGGAGGGAGCCTCCTCTCTGGTCTCCTGACCTCCATTCCTGCCCCGCTGCACCTCAGTCTCCACATTTAGAATGCATAAATGATGTCACATTACTTTGCTGCTCAGACCACTTAATCCCTTCTCATCACATGGTGAAATCCAGCTCCAGATCCCCGCTAGCAAGGCTCTCACGCTCTGCCCCTGACCGCTCTAGTCTCCATCCCTCTCCTGCCTTTGCTATTCTGGTCTCCAGGTTCTATGAACATGTCCATTTGCTGCTGCCTTGGGGTCTTGGCCCTGGCTGTTTCCTCCCTCTGGTCTATTCCTGCCCCAGGGATCTCCGTGGCTAGAGCTTCCTCATCCTCCTTCTAAATGTCACCTCCTCAGACGAGCCCTCCCTGATGGTCCCACCCCACCTCCCCACTCTGCTCACCCCTTACTCGCCTTTATTTCCTCAGCACCTGCATCACGCTGTTCATTAACCTTCCTGCTTGTTTAGCAACCTGCATCCCCAGTGGACCCTGTGAGGAGGAACTAGGCTGGTCTCACTCGCCGCTGAGGCCCCGACACCACTCCTGGGCAGGCACGTCACCAGCCGCCCATATATAGTTGCTGAATGAGTGAAGGAATGAATGAATCTCTCCTGCTGGTTCCTAAGTTGCGTGAGACCATGGCTGCGTCTTTTCTCTTCCCCTCAGCTGCCCCCCACTCAAAGCCTCACTCAGTCCAGATGAATAAATGAAAGAATCAGGGAAGCCCTAAATATTCCGAGAATAAATGCGGTGAATGTCTGACATGTGAACAAATGGCCGACAGAATGAACCCCAGTGCCCAATTAAGGGAGCAGAGACACATTTTTCTCTTGTCTGAGCTGGGGAAGATTACAGACAATGTTCTGCCTGTACATTCCTAACCCAGAGAGTTAGAAGGAGCCAATCCCTCCAGCGGCCCTGCAACCTGAACAGCCTTTGAGCTCAAAGCGGCAGCCTCCCCCCTCGCAGCCTCCCTGAGCTGCCCGGTGGTTACCCGCACCAACGTCCTCTGGAAAGCGTCTGATCCCAGCAAGCCAAAGCTGAAGCCGGCCGCTGCGTGGGAAACCACCATTGCCACTCACTAGCTGTTGCTTTGGTTTAGAGAGATGAAAGGGAGCAAGTGATCTCATGGCTCCCTTGGTAGGCTCACACTGGAAAAATAAAAAACAGGCAGAAAACGGTTGGCTTCTCTGGGGAAGAAGAAATAGGTAGCAAGAAGCACTTGCTGTGAGCAGTGGGGACGAGCACCAGCCAGAGAAATCGGAGCTGGGGTCGTCATTCCCGAATTTACTAGCTGTGGGACCTGGGGCACTTCCCTGAGCCTCGGTTTCTCCCACCACAGGAGAGGGACAATAATATGATAACCTCCCAGCACAGAGGTTCTCAAAGTGTGGCTTTAACAATAGCAGCATCAGCGCCACCTGAGAACTTGTTAAAAATACAAATTCCGAAGGAGAGACACAGGGGGTGGGGCCTATGGGGCCTAGTAATCCCTTAACAAGCCCTCCGGGGAATCTGCTGCACACTCCAGTTTGAGAACCACCGTTCTGTAAAGAAGAGAGAGTAAATAAACTGCAGGGATTTTGCCGTAGTTAAAATCACAAATGGGCTGACATATGCAAAGGCACAGAGGGTGCCAGGAGTACAGTAAGTGCTCAATAAACGGTGGCTCCTGCTGTCATTATTATTACTGACAACATTCTTCTCTTTGGAACTCATTGTCTAATTGGGCAGTCAGGAGAAGTGTTAAAAAAAAAATGACAGCAACAAAAACAGGACAAAAAAGAGAAAGAGAGAGCCTTCTGGATTTGGGGCTATGTAGCCACTGAAAGGAAGCATTTCAGGGATTCAGTGAAGGAAGAAATTGGGGAATGCTGTTGCAGTCTGGGGTGGGATTTATTCATTCATTCTTTTGTTCATTCCACAAACATTTACTGAGCACCTAATCTAGACACAGTGCCAAGTTCAGCAGCTACTAGCAGTGAACATGAGGGACACAGTCCCTGCCCTGCCCTAAGAGGGGTGGTTTCTAAAATGGGACAGGTGCAGAGACACCTTGGACATGCTGGTGTCAATGCAGGGGCAACAGAAGGCTCACAAGAAGCCCCCGACCCTGAGGTGATGCCCTTGTTGGGCTCACAGGCAGGGCACGGGGTGCCCAGGAGAACAGTGCCCACTCTAGCTACCATGTCGTGCAATTTCAGGGAGTGCAATTCTCACATGTCCTGGGTGGCAAGTGAACAGGGCTGGGGAGAGGCCAGTGCTTGAGGGCGAGGAGGAAGGAGATGACGGCCCAGAGATTGGGAGGAGGGAAAGGAGCACAGTGTGGCTGACCTGCCACATGCAAGGACAGGGGTGGCCAGAAGTGAAACTGTGATCCAAATAGAGGCATCTGGACTTTATCTTGAGGGCCCCAAGGAGCCATGGAAAGCTTTTTGGCAAGGGATAAAAATGAATTTTACCCTTGGAAGAGTTTGCTAGGTGTGGGAGTGTGATGGGCATGGGCATGACTACAGGAAAACACATCTCCCTGGGAGGCAGTGAAGAACCTCATCCTGCAGGGGACGTGGCTCTGTGTGTGCAGGGGAGGAGGGGGCTGGGAGGCTAGGCAGGGCTTAGAGCAGACTGATGGACAGAAGGGGGGTGCCCGATGCCTCCCAGAGCCCCCTTGGGCAGGAGAGATGCTCCTGCTATGTGCAACCACTTTGCATCATATTTATAACATCACTATACCCATCACTTGTGCACCCCGGCTCAGGACACAGCACTGCATTGCCCCCAACCTTGAGATCATCCTTGACTTTAAATCTAATCCATCTGCAAGTCCTCTTGGCTCTACCTTCAAAAGACATCCAGAATCTGAATATCTCTCAGTCCACTCCACCACCTGGGCCCAGGCTACCATCCTCTCCCGCTTAGACAGCTGCAATAGTCTCCATACAGGCCTCTCCGCCTCCACCATCACCTCCTATTGCCTGGGCTCCACACGTAGCCAGGGTGACACTTATAAACAAAAGTCAGATTACGTATATACTGTGGCTCATCATCCCAGTGCAGGCAAAAGCCTGAGTCCTTTTTTTTGAGACAGAGTCTCACTATGTTCCCTGGGTAGAGTCCCATGGTGTCACAGCTCACAGCAACCTGTAATTCTTGGGCTTAAGTGATTCTCTTGCCTCAGCCTCCCACGTAGCTGGGACTACAGGTGCCTACCACAATGCCCAGCTATTTTGTTTGTTGCAGTTATCATATGCAGGCCCAGGTCAGGTTCGAACCTGCCTGCCTTGGTGTATGTGGCTGGCACCCTAACCTCTAAGCTACAGGCGCCAAGCCAGCCTGAGTCCTTCTAATAGCCACAGGCCCCAGACCACTGGCCCCACTCCAGATTCCCAGCCCCTGCTCTGCAATTCTGAAATCCAGAGAGGTCTAAAAGAGGTCAAGAGAGAGACATAACCCATTTGGTGGCAAAACCTGACCTGAACCACCACGAAGCTACTTACAGTTTTATCTATTCATCACCCTTAGCATGGATGCCCACCTGTTTCACGCAGGTACATTTACATGGCAGTCTGGGGTACTACCTCCTGCTCTGCTGGGGATGAAGATCAGAGCTCTTCCTGAAAGCTGAAAAAGCCTTTTTGCTAAAAGATTCGTGACATACCTGGCTGCCTGGGCTTTTGTGAAGGGACCAAGGATCTGTATTTCCCTGACCTTTCTCTTGCCCTTCCCTCCTTCTGTCTGGCCCTGAGCACAAGGCCTCTTCTGTTCCTTGGTGCACATCCTACCCCAGGGCCTTTGCACTGCCTGCTCTCTTGCCCAGTATGCTCCTCCCCTCACAGCCCCTAGCCTCAGGTCCCTGCTCATACATACCTCCTCTTTAGGGGCGGCCCCTTCCTCTGCCTGTCAGAACCACCCCCTGCCATTCCCCTCCTTCCCCTTGCTATGTAGGAGATGTCACCACCTGACATCCATGTGACGTTATGGATTGTTCCCTGCTTGTTGGCTGCTTCCCTCACTGGTGCCTGAGTCCCATGAAGGCCTGGGCTGATCTTGCTCACTGCTGTACCACCAGCTGACCCAGAGCGGAGCTGGCACACAGTAGGAGCTCAGCAACTTACCACTGTAAACACGGATCAACAAACTAACATACCGGCTGAGACGTAATGTCACTGCTGCCCTGACCAGATGTGAGCTTCGGAAGGTACAGACTCTGTCCTACTCACTCGGCTCTCCCTGGGCCATGCCAGACTGAGGTAATCACAAATATTTACTAAACAAAGGAAACGGCAAAGTATACAACTTGGATCTGGGGAGCACGCATCTGAGGCGTGGACAGGATGTCTGTGAGCACAGACCACGAGGGACTAGATAAGGGCTTCGCTGTCTGCATACAGCAGGCAAGAAATCAGTGCCTCTGTGTGCCGAGACCCCCTCCTCTGGGACAGTGATTAAAAACAGACCTGGCCTGAGATGGCTTCAAAAGAAATAGAAACACTGACTGGCGCAGGAGTGAGGGTCAGTGGGCGTGGATTACATACATGCTGCAGTATTGGAGTGGGGGTTGTCAAACAGCCCAATAATAACTACCAGAGAGTTCTGGGTCAGTGATACACTTACCTTGTAGAAGAAGTGGAACCCTTGGCTGAAAGAGAAAACAAACAAAAGCCAGTCATTTAAGTATAAACATAGTTTTCTTATGTAACTTATTTGGGGGCAAAAGTTTGCCTGCAGGGATGGGGGAGCAATTACTGAAATCAAATCCTGGGAACCACAGGAAACCCCCACACCCATGCAGTGGGGTGGTCCACTCTCTCCCATGGAGGAAGCCTAAGAGGGGTAGGCCAGGCCTTCTTGCTTTCTGACTTCTGGGAATAACCAAGATCCAAAAGCAGCCTTCAGCCTGGGAGGGGCCCACTGCCCTGTCTCTGCCTGGGCCTCACCTCCATTCAACCACAAACCTCAGTGGAGTTCCTCCAGCACACCCAGGTCCAGTCTGGGACCTGTACTGCTACAAAACAGACTCTAATAGGGGTGTGAGTCGGGTGTCACCTATGAACCCCAGGTCTGCCACTAAATCATTTACTGTGTGACCATAGGTGGGTCACTTGCTCTCTCTGAGCTTTTGTAACTTCCAGGATTGGGCTAAGCAACCATTTACCTATGTGTCAACACTTTCAAAAAAGGCTCTTGGGGGGAAAGAGTGTTGGTCTGCTTCAGAGGTTTTAAACCAGTGATACCGGGCAACCCACAGAGACGCCTCCAGGGTTCAGCAGCCACTGACTCCCATTTTGCTTTGAAGTTGTAATTAAAAAGCAACGCCAGCCATGCCAGCCGTAATGGGCAGGAGGCTGCCGAGGCGCAAGGATTCTCACTGTCAGGTTAATGCTCAATGTCTGGGCAGGCACTGGGTCTTCGGGTGGGCTGGGGCCAGCCAGGATGCTGCAGCTCTGTGTGTGACATCTGAGTAGAGGCTGACAAGGGTATAGAGCAAGGGTCCTCAAGCTTTTTAAACAGGGGGCCGGTTCACTGTCCCTCAGACTGTTGGAGGGCCAGACTGCGTGCCCCAGGACAAGTCAGCTGCTAAGCAGGACAGGCAGCAGCAGCAAAAACACCCGGCGGGCAGGATAAATGTCCTCAGTGTGCCACATGTCACCCGCGGGCTGTAGTTTGAGGATGCTTGGTTTAGAGTGTGGGACATAAGTTGCCTCTGGGATCCAGGGACAGGACCCCTATTGCCTTCAATTTATACCAAAGGGATTTTGGTGTGAGCTTGGCTCACACAGCTGCTAAGTGTGGAGCTAAAATTGGGACACTGCACTGTATGTCCTGAGAGGTAGAAGACAGGAGGACCCCTCCAGGGCCCAGGGAGGAAAAAAGGGTGTCTGATTAGGGTAGAGGGAGGTGGTGTGCAGAGTGGCCCTGGATGTGCTGTCTGGATTTGAGTATACCACATACTGGCTGTCAGACCCTGAGCAAGCTTTATAACTTTTATTTTTTTTAAATTTTGGCCGGGGCTGGGTTTGGGACCCATATGGGGGTCGGTGCATATGGGACCGGTGCCCTACCCTTTTGAGCCACAGGTGCCACCCAGCTTTATAACATTTTCAAGCCTCAGTCTCCTCATCTGTAAAATAGGGTCAGTAATATCCCCCATGAACCCTGTAGTGAGGACTGACTGTTACTACAGGTAAATCCCTGTGAGTAGAGCCTGGCATGCTGGAATTGCTGAGTGAGTGCTAGCTGTCCCTGTCACTGGAGCCTGTGCTTGCACAGAGACCTGCCACTCAGGCTGGGGGTGGGGGGCGGGCCCTCACAAGCATGGGCCGCTCTCGGAAACTCACTCCTCCCTCTGTAGCACCTAAGCCCACAGTAGTGAGCGCATGTGTGCCAGCAGCCTGGCATGGCACCCGAAGCTGAGCCTCAGAAAGGATGGCTGGGAGCTCACTAATGGCCACCATGAATGCTCCACCCCACAAGCTGGCTTGTCACCCTTGGGGAACAAGGGATCTGACTCCCTACCCAAGGAGGGGTCCTTCCTGCAGAGGGCTCTTTAAGTACTTTAGGGAAACCATCAGGTAGATCTCCCAGTGACACATTCTCTAGCCCTCCCGGATGGCAGCTAGGGCCAGCAACTCCCAGCAGAGTCCTTGCAGCCAGCCTGGGATGGAGGGAAACTTGGGGGCAGAGGTGGAGGCAGCACAGAAGGATGTGTGGCTGATGCGTGACATGCCTGTCTAAGCTCAGCGGGGCATGTGGCTGTATTAGGACAGGTCGGGAGAGGACTTTGCAGGCTGTGGCTCATAGCGGCTCACAAGCAGCACTTTTAATAGAAAACAGAATAGAGTGTGATGAAAAGGAAAATACCAGAGCTTCAATTTTATACATAAATGTAGGCATGTGTGTGTGTGTGTGTGTGTGATGGGTTGAAACATGAAATGTATTTCTATCTCTTATAGTAAAAAAGGTTTCAGAAATACCAGCCTAAAATTATCTCCTCCAAGAGCAGGAAAGGGAATATATATTTACTGAGGGTCTAGAATGTTATCAGACCTGCTATTTCACGTGAGCTTATTTGGGTCTCACATCTATTCTCCGAGATGGGTGCTGCTAAACCCATTTTATAGATGAGGAACTGAGGCCCATGGAAGCCAAACTAATTGTTTAGAGTATATATCATGGGTCCAGAACCCTGGTTTGTTTGACTTCAAAGTCAGAATCCTCGCCGCAGCACCCACCACCCTGCCTGGTGCACACAGAGACACACACGATGTGCATACCAAGGAGGGGATGTCCGCCCTGGGTTTGAAAAGTGTTATGCTGGGCAGTCAAAGGTTACGCACACCTTGCCCCTGCGAGGGGGACTTTCCAGAGAGGTAGCTCATGTTTCTGAGCTCGCACACAATACCAACCACAGAAGCTGTACTCCTTGGAGGGAGATTGTGTTACCACCTCCTTTCCCTCCAGCCTCCCGTCCAGGGCTGGGCATACAACCTGGGTGTGTAAGAGGGAGCTGAAGCTTCCGGGTGGCTCCTGGGGAAGACAGTTTCTTCCCCGAGACAGGTGAGCAGAGTCCCCAGCCTCCTTCTTGCCACCCTGGCAGCTCCTTGCTTCCCCTCTGAGTACTGGCCCCATGTCCTCATGGGGCAGCAATGACTATCTTAGAACCACAGAGACAGGCCAAGCAGTGACCCAGCAGACTCAAACGTGGTAAAGCTGCTGCCCCAGCCCCAGCACTGCTACCCCTGCTCTTCTTGCTACTGGAAGTCACTGAGGTCCTTATGGTTTAAGCTGTTGTAGGCCTAGGCTCCTAGTGGCCTCTCCCCCTGAGCAGGACAGTCAAGAGGTAAATGGTTAGGGAGAAGGAAGGGAAGGTGCTCACCTTTATTTTGTCTGATCCGGAAGAGGTAGAGGGCTGCAATCGCCAGAGCCACCAGCAAGGCACACACGATGCTCACCACGAGATAGATGCTCCAGTCTTTCCTGGCAGGCACGTCTGGAGACCACAGGGAACAGTGACTTCACGTGTGCAGAGTAAGAACAAAGAAAACCAAAGCCCTCCGCTCCTTTCCACCACTGAGCAGGCATCATTAACTGAGAACATCTGGCTGGGCCCCTCAGAGGGCTGGAGCCACATGGGCACGTTCATAGGTCTGCGCACCCTTGCCCCTGATGGCCGTCCGTGAGCAGCACAAAAGCCACCCTGAGGTGCCAGGAGGGAAAATACTTGCTGCTGACAGCCACAGAGGCTGCTGGATGTGAGCAGAAATCTCTTTTCTGAGCAAGAGAAACTTGGTACTTCTCATCTGGCGTGAACCACAAAATGGCTACAAGGGCAGCAAAGATCCATCGGAAACTCTGAATAAGCAACTGGGTGTGCTTATTGGGATGCAGATAGGGGTGGGACAAGAAGCGACAGTGAGGAGTGGTGGACATGCTGGCTGGACGCCAGGCTCTGGGGTTGACCTCAGGGGTTGACCTCTGGTCTGTGCCCTGGACCCAGGCTATGCACGCTGAGCTTCGGAGCCAGCTTAGGAGCTCTGAACCAGAATGCTTACAAATGGAGGCAGAGACACAGGCGGGGGCCTGGACTACAGCACAGTGTCAGTCAGGGGCATCAGCACGGGTTCACATCAGTGCCCCTAAGTAGGTGTGTGACCTGGGACATGTCAGTTAAACCTCCCTGACACCCTGGCTTCCTCTTCTTTTATTGGGGCCAACAGTAATATCCACCTCATTAAATAGCTCTGAGGATTACCTAACTCACTGAACCACCAACTAACTAGCCATCTACCAACTAACTGGCCAGCTCATGTTTCCATCCTCTTGGAAACTATGTACTGAGTGTCTCCGTGTGCCAGGCCCTGAAGAGATGATGCTGAACAAGGCAGTCATGGCACAACCAGCTGAGACTGAGAGCTGAGGGGTCAAAAGCTCATCTCTGAAACAATGCCATGAACAGGCAGAGGCCCAGAGAGGGGCACTAACGTACCCAAAGTCACACAGCAAGCCAATGACAGAGCCAGACTACAAGTCCACATATCCTGTCCCTGATGCAGTGTACCTGAGAAATATCCACACTGATGGAGTAAAGGCCCCTTAGACACAGCCCAAAGGCTTCTTTAGAGTCTCCCCAAGGGGGCATAAAGGGAAGAAATGCCCTCTGTCCAAACCCACTCAAGGGTTTCTACTTACATACAAAGTACCAGCCACATTGAGGACAGGTGATGAAAAATTCAATGGCAGCACTGCCATGCCAACTAGGGGCTGCCATTTCAAAAAAGCAGAGATGCCCCAGACCCAGGATGCCCCATTGAAGGGGGCTGAGTGAATGATACCTGGACATCATCGGGCTCTCTCAGGAGAGAGGCAGTGTTACTCAGTATGTGATTATGTAAATGAGTGTGCGCTTTGGTCTAGAAATGCTCCTTGGGAAATGGTGCCCCAGAAACACGTGCATGTGGGGTGAAATACTTACAAAGATGTCAATTACAATATTTCTGTAGTTGTTCCTTGAGATAGGGTAGAGTGTGGTGGCATGGTCATTGCTCACTTCAACCTTGAACTCTTGGGCTCAAAGTGATCCCACTGCCTCAGCCTCCTGAGTAGCTGGGAATAGGGGCATGCGCCACCATGCCGACTAATTTTAAAAAATTTTGGTAGAGGCAGAATTTTGCTATGTTTCCCAGGCTAGTCTCAAATTCCTTGTTTTATGCGATTCCCCCATCTTGGCCTCCCAAAGTGCTGCGATTACAGCCATGAGCCACCATTCCGGCCCGCATCGCAGCACTGTCTGCACCTGAGACAAGCTGTCAACACCCTGACTGCCCCACCCCCACTCCCAGTGGGGCAGACTCCCAATGGCATGCCAGAAAGAGTGGGGAAGAGAGGTGGGCTGACTAGGAACAGGGGTGTAACGACTGTCAGGTAAAGAAGGCAAAAGGTGGGACATGGTGAACAGGTGATCTCCCTCCCGCCCTTCTTTCCTCACGTAATATATATTCACATCGAAAGGTACACCAACATGTGCACCAGACTCCTACCAGTGGTAAATGGTAGATTATGGGATTTCAAGGAATTGAGCTGACTTTAAAATTCTGCTTTATGTTTACAGACTTCTAGATTATTCTATAATAAGCACACAGACTTCTTTTAACATTAAAAAAAAAAGGACAAAATTGAGATAACATTTAAAAAGATCTGGGTCGGCTACAGTGGAGGCCTCACCAGTGGTGGCATCTGGGCCCTGCTCCTTCGGGTGGGGAGAGAACACCACGGTATGGTTTCTGTTGACCGGTGGCTGTCCGTCATGCTCCACCTGGCAGGTGAGCACCACAGCGTCCCTGTGGGCAGAGGAGTTCACCAGGAGCCAGCTGGTGCAGCTGTAGGTCCCATCCTTGTTCTTTACGGGGGTCAAGGCTGTTTCTGTTCGGGACACATTTCCATTTTCCAACCAGGTCAGCAGTAGTTTCTCTGGGTAGAACCTCTCCACCTGGCAGGTGACGTTCACCTGGTTCCCCGCCATCGTGGGCTGCTGGGTAACCTCCAAGGTAGGCGGAACTGAAACAGCACAGGGCAGAAGCTCTGACCTCATGACTCAGGCCAGGGCACAAAGGATGGGCTGAATAACTTAGCTTCCCCAACCAGGGCAAGGGTGTCACCAGACAGTGATAGGCATGCAGTAGGTGCTTAAACATTGAGGGCACTCTTTGGATATGAGTGAAAGTACTAAGTTCAATGCCAGGCACACAGTGGGTGTTTAATGAGAGGTAGCACCTTTCAGGGGAATAATGACTGAAATCAACAAGCACCATCCCTGGGGTACAGTCAGAATCTAATAACTGCAGCAAAACAGGTGAAACTGCCAAGCACATGGGGCGTGGCTCCCAGCAGGTGCTCAGTTAACTACAGATGCTATTAGTGAAATAAACTACCAGGCAAGGTGCTTGGCACATGGTGGGTGTTCACCTGGCAGGTGCCATCAGAATGAGAGAATGAGAGTGGCACACATAGGCACAAGGTAGGTAAACGGAACAGTTAGGAATTAGATTCCAGGCAGTTTAAGCCCTGGGGCAAAAGCTGGGGGGAGGAGGAGGCTCCATGGCTAGGGCTGGGCTTGGGCTGGGTGTGGGCTCCTCTACCTCGGATGGTGTCAGACAAGTTGGCAGTCCCACGGAGAGGGATCCCCTGCAAGGTGATGTGGGCCACCTCACAGATGACCTGAGAGTGGACGTCTCCGGGGTCCAGCGCCACCCTGGCTGTGCTGTGTACACTGTAGGAGGCCTTTTCTCTTGTGGGGTCCACGGTGGTCTGGACGTTTGAGAGCTCGTTCCCATTTTTAAACCACTTCAGGGTGATGTTTCGGGGGGAGAAGCCATGGGATTCACAGGTGAAGGTCACCGTCTGCTCAGCTGTGGCCCTTGCCGGAGGACCCAATACCATAGGGACAGAGGGTTTGGCTAAAAAGGAGCATTTATAAACAGAAGATGTGATTGCAATGACCATCACTAATGATAGGCATGTGACCCTGTCAAGGACCTTCACAGACATTATTTTTTAATCCTGTGATAACCCTGGGAGGTGGCTTCCCTATCTTCACTTGACAGAACAGGACACAAAGTCTCCGAAAGGTGAGAGACCAGCCTGAGGTCAGATAGCGAGTAGGGGGCAGGGCCCAGCATGAATTCTCTCTGCACAGGGTGATTCCACGACCCCCACCCCCATCTCAGCACAAGGACAAAATTGCTGATTGGTCTCTTGGTATTAACTGTTCCTAGCCGGCCTCCCCTACACCTTGCCAACCCCAGAGAGACTGTTTATAGAAGTCAATGCAGGGAACAGATGACAATGTGGCACTACCCTGAGAGCTGGCACCAGGCTGAACAGCCCACAAAAGGGGTGGCCTGGCACATCCAGCTCCTCATCTGTGAAATGGGACAGCAGCATTTCTCCAGCCCTGGGTGCAGGAAAGGTTCAATGAGGCAATGAAAACAGTTTTGCTTTGGATCAAACAGAGAAGATGCTTCACAAGTGTAACCACAGATCTACCTTTAACCCAGACTTTACACATATCCAGAGCTCTCCCATAAGGTAGTTATGAATTTAGTCCCTATTTTTCATTCTTTCCACAAATATTCCAGGAAGATATAATCTGTGTCAAGTCCTAAATTTGAAAGGGAGAGGGCAGAGGGATAATTTTCTAAATCTGCAGTTTTCTTGGGTCAGTTTCAGTTGGAAAACAAAGACTACTCACTGCAGAGAAAGCCAAAGGTGTTTAATTTCTTAACTGTTAATTAATAACAAGAGACCCACCCAGACCCAAGAAACATAAGCAGGCAGAGGCACATCCTGGGTACATTAGAACTGGGCAGGTTCTCCCCATGGATGGGGCCTGAGTCTCCAAATTGTTGATTATTCCCTGTACCTAACTCAGGAAGTGAATATCACACATATTTGCATTTGTGGACATTAACTGGCTCCCTAACACTCATCAACATTTAGAGGGCACAGTAAGGAGGGTGTCACTTGAAGAAGTCACCTCATCAAAACAAGCAGCCCAGATGTCCCTAAAGGGACAGGAAGCTGTAATTAGCCCCCATTATTGAGGGCTCCTCAGCCTGACACTACCTGCCCTCTGTGCCCTCAGCTCTGGGATCCCCCATCCCTGGGAGGGGTCCTCAGTGAGTCCCTTTATAGGATGAGGCTCAGAGAGGAACTAGATGACCAAGGGCCCAAAGTGGATAAAATCCCCACCCTGGTAAGGTGAGTGAGGGCGAGTGGACACACAGAGCCTGGCATGCAGTAGGTGCTTAATAAACAACACCCACCACTGTTATCGTGAGGTCTGGGCACCACTGGTCCTGAAACTACACATTTATTCTTTAGGGAGCAGAACATAGCAGAGGAGAAACACCAGGAAAAGTCTCAAATCCTGACCCCCTGCAGCGCCATGAAAACCCAAAGGGTGACAGGAGCAGAAACTACCCAGTGACCAGTTTCTCCTCTTCTCTTGAACAACTCTCAGGAAACAGGTTTGGTAAATGGGGTTCAAAACACAGACAAGATTCCCGGTGCCTCCCTCCAGCTGGAAATATTTGGGAAGGGAACTGAGAACAGGGTCCTCAGTGACATCTTGGTGTGTCAAGGCAGCAGGAGTTCTGGGGCTGAATCCTGAGGATGTGCTGGGATTTCAGAGCCTGTGTAGACACAGGCATGTCTAAGATGGGAAGGTCCCCAGCACTGAGGCTGGGTCTGAGTAGGACTTTAGTCCGGGCTATCCTCCTGAGAGCATGGCTAGGCCTGTAACCTCCAAAGAGTGACAGCACAGGCTGCTCTGAAGTCCCCAAACCCAAAAATGCTGTTCTTTCACCTGACACCACAGAGAAACACCTTTTTTAGGAACAGGGGTACCCAACTTACCCTCTGTGACTCAGGGCCTCTTTGCCCTGTGTGTTACAATCTTTGGATTATTAAGAACTTCAGGTGACCAGGCCCTGCCAGACCAATTAAATTGGCATTCCTAGGTAGAACTGGGTTTACCAAAGGTTCCTAGGTAACCCTACAGAGCAGTGGCAGGTGAGAGCCCCCACTCCATCCCATTTGCTCTGAGGCCTAGAGGGGAAGGGCCCTACTCTGTCTATGGCCCTGGCACATGCACTGCACATGGTCTGAGTCCTGCACTGAGCACTTTGTACATTTGACTCCTTTAGTTCCTGCCCCTGCTCTGTGGGGCTGATGTTGTCACCCACAAGTGAGGACATAGGCCTACTGTGGTGTGGGGGCTTATCTGAGGCCACAGGCTGGGAGGTAGCAGAGCTGGGGTGTGGCCCAGGCAATGGGGCTCCTATCTCTGCTCTCCTAACCATAGTGCCACAGATGCTCATACTAACCCCGACAGCACCACCTGGGGCTCTACACAAGTCCCCTGCTGTCCTCACAGCACCCTCAAGGGTGGCCATGACCATCACCACTTCACAGATGGGAAACCACGGACTCAAGGGAAGCTGAGACCTGCCCAAGACCCACAACCTTGATGACAACCCATCATTTACTGAGTCTCTTCTCTCCCCAGGCTCACTGTGTCTTAAGAACACCCTGGAGGGTTTGGTGCAATCGTCCACATTATACATATAGGGAAACTGAGGCTTGGCAAAAGGAACTGTATTGCCCAAGGTCACACAATCTTGAATGAACACCTAGAACTGAGGGTGCCTACAATGTGCTAGGTGATTTCAAATCCTTTCCACTCTCTTAAAGAAGTCCTTGATTGTCACCATTTTACAGGTAAGAAAACTGAGGCTGGAATGACCACATTATCTTCTTGTCCCCCATGTGTCCCAGTGGGCATTTCCTGTGCCCCTCAAGCTTTCATGTCTGTCAGCAGAGCAAGTGTTCTGACACTGGCACCCCCTCCTTTCTTCCTCTGAGATTCTCAGCTTGAAGCACCTCTAGGGACAGCCTCCCCCACCCAGGGGGGGCCTAGGCCTGATTACCCGGCAGCCAGGAACAGAAGACAGGGGCTCCTGACAGCTGAGGGAAGAACTCAACTCCTGCTCACAGGGGCGCCACATCTCCTCCTCCTTGGTGTCTAGCAGCCTAGGGTGACCCTGTCCCTGAATGCTGCTCAGGGAAGGAGCCTCGAGTACTTCCCTGGTGTGGAGCCGGGTCCTGCAGGAACCGGCCATGTAAAGTAGCCCCTCCAACCTTCACAGGACTGTGTCTGGTTTTGGTGCTTATTGCTGTGGAACTGAATAGCGCAGGAGCTTAGAAGGAGAAGGGTGGAGCACATATCCACATTGCAACCAGCAGTGTAGCTGGTACTGCAAGGACAGGGGCTGTGGGTAAAATGTAGGGTTGAAACCTTGGCTCCCCTCTGCTCTCAGGTCAGGACCCCTCACTGAGTCTCAGTGTCCCCATCAATAAAGGAGCAGCAGATGGCCTCTCTCTGACAGCACTGGTTACAGGAGAAAGTGGCGGGATGAGGAGGCAGCACCTGGCACAGCTGCCACCTCTGGCCCCTGCCCCACCTCCTACCTGTCTCACCAGGGCATCATTTAGGCCGAGGGCAAGGCCTAGGGGAGTGAGCCTCCACCAGAAGCCAGCAGGCCTGAGTCACACCTGAGCCACTTCCTTGCTGGGATGGCCTGGGCATGGATGTGCCATCTGGGGACTATATTGTCTCTGACTGTAATATCTGCAAAGTCAGAAAAAGCCACCTTCCCTGCCTATGCCCAGGGTTGCAGGGAACTTGAATGCTGTAACATCTAGGATGAAATGTTTACAACAGCCACATAAATTAAAATACTCATGTCCTCTGACTGGAGATGCCATTTCTGGTGGGCATCTTCCACCTATGCCGTGCAGGACAGTGCACGTAACAACTCATCCATGCAGCATGGCCTTAGCTCAGGGATGGGAACAACGCAAATATCCATCCATTGAAGACTATCATGTAAATTTTGGTATTTCCACATGATGGAATATTTTGCAACTGTCAAACAAGTGGGCAGCTCTCTATTTCCTGATATGGAATCTCTATATGGAACGATAAAGCTTAAGTTTTGGAGAGGTTTTCCAAACAACAATGGAACTCAGGTTTTAAATGGGGTTGTGGATCCTGCAACCTTTGGGAATGTGATGAGAAGGAGAAGTGCTGGCTCCCTGCTCAGTGGTTCTGCTCTAGGAGCTTTTATCTGGCACCTATGATGCACCCGGCTCCTGCATGGAGCCTGCCTGGAATCAGATCTGGGTTCTGGTCTCAGTCTTGCCACTAATTGCCATGTGATCCTATGCAAGGCCCTTACATCTTTTGCCCTCAGGTTCCCCATTTGTAAAGGGGGGTGGCCTGAAGGTCCTTCCTGTGCTGATGGCCAGGATACTGGGACAGAAGGAGATCCCAATTCTTAGGCAAAAAATCCAAAATGAACCTCTTTGCTGCTTTCCACTGGGGGACCTCTAAGTCACCCCCATGGGGGAACTCTTTCCTGGAGTGAGGGGCATTCTGAGTTGACCTAGCTCTGCCTGGAGCCTTTTGTGACTGCCTCAGTCCCTGAAACACATAAGTTTTCCGCACAGACCCTCAGCATACACCCAACCTCCCACCATGGCCATCATATTAAACAGTGAACTTGTGCCTCTTAGGAATCTTCCCAGTGGGATGCGCCTGAAGACAAAATAAAGGAAAACACGTCGATCCCTTCCCTGCCCTGGACAGACTTCTTCTCCTTGGAAGGTAGGAGAACTTGAGCTTCCTGGGGGCAGAGTGCTGCCTGTATGTTCACTGCTGTTTCCATAGCACCCAGGGTGGAGCCAGCACACAGTAGGTTCTCAATGGGTGCCTGCTGCATAAGGGAGATTTGGCATCCTGGAGGGGAAAGTGCTCTCTAGGGGCAGCAGGTCAGCGCTGGCCTGCAGCTGGGCACGTCATTTAATCTGCCAGTTCCCCCATCAGTGGGACCAAAGGGCTGGGCAGGCAGGTAAAGGCCAGGGCTGGGAAGCCAGGTAGGCCGGGGGTGCAGACTTTCCTGCTGTTTACCAGCTGTGGAGCCTGGAGAAAGTAACATGACATCTACAGGCCTCAACTTTCCTGCTGTATAGAGAAGGTGACATCAAATCATGAAAATGAGGCCCTTCACACCAGATATTTTGCTCAGCATAGAGAACATTGTTACTGACTTATCATCCCACCCCAGGGGACAGAGGAGGTCCCCACTGCACTCACCACTCACAGACACTTCAGTGCCTGGTCCAGACTTAAACTCCACATTTTCAGGAGTTGCTCTCCGGAACTTCACACAGTAGTAGGTGCCGGCGTCTGCTGGGGTGATATTACTGATGCGGATGGAAAAGTCCACGTTCTCTCTCTTTGTGTTATCTGAGATATTTGTTACCCGGGGGGAGTGGACTTTGTGACTGTAGATCAATTCTCGGTCTCGCCCAGTCCCCTTGAACCAATTGATGGGCCCCACGGGGACCTGGGCAGTGATGGTACAGCGCAGAGTGGCCGACTCTCCAGCGGCGACTGACACCGACCTGTCGGGCTGAATCACCTGCAGCTCTTCTCCTGTCACCCCTGGAGGGAAACACAGAGCAGTTGTTTATCCACCTGTGTGACCCTGCACGTTTTCTCAAGCGTTCGTCAGCAACTATTGCCACTGTCTGGAGAACACCCTGAGAGGCCGTTAAGTGCAGCCCTCTGCTTGTGTCACCTCATTCAACCCTCTCAACCCTCCTATAACAGCAGATGTGCTACAAATGAGGAAACTGAGGCAAGGAGGGCTGAGTGACACCGCAAAGCATGGGTACCCAAGCCCTCTATGGAAGAGTCAAATCTGAGCTGGGCCCTAGGATTCCAATCTGAATTTATCAAGAGGAAGAGGCTGGTGTTTCTCACAGGGACAGTCTGGCAAAGGCTCAGAGACAGGAGCTGAGGGTGGGGGACTCTACAAGCCCCCGGATTCTGTCTCAGAGCAGAAAGTAGACCCTGAGTGGGGGCACTGAGCTCAGCAGCAGTAAGGCAGGAGAACGTGGTTTAGGCCCTGCTCAATGGCTTACAGCTGTGACCCTGGGGCATCACACAGATGAGTGACACGACCCAGCGGGTGCTCGTACAGGTGTTTGTAACAACTGCCACATGCTGTCCAAGTGTGACACCTGTCCTTTGAGCAGAGCCCTTTACTGTTGTTCTCAGGCTTGGTTTCCTCATCTGCAAAGTGTTACTAGGACCCCACTTTGAGGATCTCCGGGAGGTCCAAACAAGCCTAGGCCAGGCAAGGACAGTGTCAAAAAGTGGCATCTGGTCTTTGGAGTCATCAGATCTGGTTTGAAACCTGGCTTGCTACGGCCTTATCTATAAGGTGGGCAGAAGACCCCCAGGCCTCTGCTTTGTTCTGAAAGGAAAATGAGATCACTTAGCACGGAGCTGGGCATGGGGAGCTGCTGTTACTACACAAATGTGAATAAATGGGGAGGGGGCTGGTGCTCAAAACTCAGTCCCACTGCCCCTCACTGATGCTCCTGTGGGCCAGGCCCCCACTGGATGATGCGGAGCACACAGGACACACCAGGGCTGGCTCCAGCCCAGGCCTCAAAGGCTCTTGGCTGGGCAGCTGGAAATAGTCTGACAGGTCAGCTATGGGTAGGGACCCAAGCCCCAAATCAGAGACCACAGGGGCACATGAGACAGGGATCCCAGGTAGAGAGATGGAGAATGGAGAGGAGGGCACCGCCAGGAAGGTGACAGGCAGGAGGAGGTTGTGAAACAGGCCACCAACAGGCAGGAGCCAAGCAAGAACAGCTCAGAGCAAGGCACAGCCAGGGCCCTGCTCCAGAACACAGGGGACAGGAGGTACAGGGGACAAGAAAGAAAGGCAGATCATAACGACCTTAGAGAAACACATACACACAAAGGTAGAGACAGAGTGAGAGAGACAGAGCTGGGGAGAAGGCTGTGGGACAGACAGGGAAGAGGCATCTGCCTGGTATGCAGATTGCAGCAACCCAGGGCCGGGGATGAGCTTTCCACTGACCCCCGGTGTGCCTGTGTCCTGCTGTGCCCTGGGCCACCTCTGCCTTGTACATCGGACAGGGTTGCAGCAGACGCCATGAGCAGCCCCTCTGGCTCTCCTGGTGAATCTGTCCACTATGCCAAGGCCTGGCACCACCCTGCTGGCAGGGGTGGAACACCCAAGGAAAGAGAGGCTCACGGACCCAGGCCTGCCCTCAAGGTGGCCCACTCAGGGCCATCTGGGCTTGTAGTGCCTCTTCCCTCCTTTCCAGTATCACCTAGCTCTGCCTCCAGCCAGAGGTCACCCTTGGGGCCAGTCTCAGATTACCAGAATGTGTCTGATCCCCACGGCACAGGGGATGGGGAAGAACCAGAGCCCACGAGGGATAGGGGCTTGGCCAGCATCAGCCAGGACAAGAGTGTTGGGGCTTGTGGCCAAGTATAAGGGAGGCCCACAGGGGCAGGTAGACACCCAGAGGCAGCACTGGGCCAGGAACATTCCCGATGGGTGAGCATTTCAGCATGGGAGACTGGATGAACTGGAAATGCCACTTAGAAGAAGCAGAGGTGCTGGGGCCAGTAGGCCTGGGCAAAAGCACGACTCCCCTCTTAGGCAGCTCAGTACTCAGCCTCCCTGGGCCCCCATTCCACCACGTGGGGTTCTAGCGTCCATGCGCAGCACAGTCCTGAGGACTGTGACATAGTTGTATGACCACCACGTATGTGCTCCTTAAATTTCAATTCCTATCCTATTATTATCACATAGCTGTATCACTTCTATATTTGATTTTCTCTGAATTGTCATAGTCCCAATACTAGGATGTAGGATCCAGAAGGGACTTTTCCCAACCCCCTGCCTAGGACAGTGCCAGGCATACACTGGTTCCTCAAATAGGACTTGCCGAGTGAACGCAATGAATGAATAAAGGAAGGATTCTAGATGCTCCGTGACCCTGGGCACATCCCTCTCTGAGTCCCTTTCTCCATCTGTTAAATGGAGCTACTATTGACACACGCAGGAGAGGGTGAGGGCCCGGAGCCCAGGACGGAGCCCAGCCAGCAGTTATTATTATCCTTATCAATATCACCACCAGGGCTGTGAGTCAGCAGTCGGCGAGGGAGGGGAGTGCAGGAGCGCTGCGGAGTCAGGCGTGCAGCATGTTGGAGCAGGGCTATTCTTGTGGTGCAGCCGGAGGCCTGTAATCACACCCCGGGCAGGCGACAATAAAATCTGGAGTTGTGCAGGGCTGGCTCCCCCGTTTTTTGTTTTTTTTTTAAGCTCCTCTCAAGCTCTCTCCACCAAATGCAGCCAGATTTAGGCAGCTTAATTAATTAGCTAGTGTTTATAAAGCGTTTGAAGAATTTTAAAAGTGCGACGTAAGTGCCAAATATTATTTTAATCTGTGTATGTGTGTGTTTTTTCCAGCAGAGAGTTTTTTCCTTGCTTGCTTGCTTTTCTTTTTCTCTGCAGGTTCTGTTCTGGGAAACCAGCTCGTTAAAAATCTGTCCTGCAGTTCTGGGCCTAGGGTCATCATGCTGGCACCACTGACCAAACCACTTCCTCCTCTCTCTTTCCCTCCTGGCAGAGCAAGGCTGTCTAGGGGCTTGAGCCATCTCTGGGAGCCGAGGGCAGCTGTTCCCACGCACTGCTGGTGGGAGTGGAAATTGGAACATCCTCTCGGGAAAGCAGTTTGGCAGGATGAACCAAAGGTGTGAAATCTGTTCGCCAGCCTTTGCTAGGCTGCTCCACGAGGACAGAACCCCACATAGTGTAGTTTCCTGCATAATGATCTTTCCAAAGTTGGAAAAAAACCCAAATGGCCAATGATAGGGGATGGTTAAGTGAGTTATGGGCTATCCCCTACGAGGAATTAGAGGCAGGCATAACAAGCCATTACCATAAAAGCCATGGTAATATAGACGTTTTCATGGCGCGATTTTAAATAATATTGTGGTTATACAAATAAAACCTGTTCATTGCAAGGCATTTAGAGAAAACAAAAAAGTATAAAAACAAAGTAATCTCATATAATGCCATCAAAGGTAACTGCAATCAACATTTTCCTGTAGTTAAAATGCGAGTGAAGAAAAACAATGCGAAGTCATACCTTCAGATAACTAAGGATATTGCTAACATTTTGCTTTATTCATCTAAGTGTTGTTATAAAAATGAAAAATTGAAAACACACTAACATCCAAGGAAACGAGATGGGCTGCCCCACTATGGCAAATCTACTTAACAGCCAAATCTACAGCCATGAAAATGATGGTGTGGAATTACAACGGAAAGACGTGACAAGGTCAGAGTCAGCTGCTGAGTTATACATTCAGTGTGATCCCAAACTTCCAGTTTTGGGGGGGAAAAGTGACGTTAAGGATTAGCAATGATTAATTTTAAGTGGTAGAGCTACATGGAATTTTGCTTTTTTTTTTTTTTTTTTTGCGTTTCTTGTTCAAGAAAAAAAGATGAAGGAAAACTGTACTTTTCTATATGATCTTGACTTTGTAGAATAAACCTACATATAAACTGTAAGGTACTATACAGAGCTATAAAAATGCAACTCATTTTGGATCCTGTCTCTAAAACTGTTGGGTTTTTTTTTCCTTTTTTTCTCCTTCTATTTTGGGTATTTTTCAGATTCTCTAAACTGGAGGAAAACTAAAGAATATTTACAGTATCTTATTTTGTTTTAAAAAAAAATGGAACATGTAATGTGTATGTTATATATATGTGTATTACCTGAATGAACCTCCCCTCCAGGGATTTTGTCAGTTTTGGTCACTGCTATTTCCCCAGCTCCTAATACTGCGGTTGGCACAGAATAGATGCTCAAAAAATATCTGCTGATTGACTGACCAATTGCATGTCTAGAGGAAAAGATCTAGGATGGTAAGATAAACACCACAATGTTGTGTTGTGTGACATCAGGACTGGGGTGGGATGGGGTGGGCACGCTTTCTTATTTATCATTAAGTAATATACTGCATATATTGAAGTCTTTTTTGCAGTGGACATTTATTGCTTTGGGAAAAAAAGTAAAAGTAATACGACAAAACATGTGAATAAGTTTTCTAAGGGGAGGAGTCAGCACAGTGCATGGTAAGGTGGAAACTGTTTCTTTGTTATAAGAGGCACTTGTGTCCACAGTGGACAAGGGGAGTCCACAGCACAGGGCGGTCAGTAATGAATTACTGGCTCCTCCTATGTGCCAGGCCCTGAGCTTAGCCCTGTGGAAAGGAGTCTGCATGGTAGGGATGAAGACAGACCGTGATGGGAAACCACTCCAATGATTACACTCGGAATGAACACAACCCCCTGGCTAAGCAGCTACTGCTGACGGCTCTGACTCCATCTCTGACCCCCCCCCCGCTGCCCCACTGTCGCCTTTCTCTTCCTTGAATTGGCCATGGAGGGTGCGACCACCTGTGTCAAATGCCACTCAGAGATGTGGTAAGCTAGGGGCTGAGAGCTAATCGCCTGGCTTAGAAAAATATCTTCGCTTTTTAAAAAGAATGTTCATGTGTGGCTTTTGAGATTAAGAAAAGATGAAAACAATTTTCATAAG